GTGTCGGCTCTCATCTGCATGGACAAGGCCGAGAGGAGTGAGAGAAAGACGGAGGGAGAATGAGAGAGAGAGAGGACAAAACGTTACGAGCGGACCTGGAGCTGTGTCCCGTCTCCCTGAATCCAGAGGGCGTGACTGACAGGTGGATTAACCATTCAGAGAGACGCATGGTATGTTTGTGCCAAAAACAAACATGGAAAAAAAAGTGGAAAAAACAACATTAAGGACTGAGAAACAGCATGGATTTTTAGGTACTAACCCAGGACCAAACCAAGTCTACATCAGGACTAACCCAGGACCAAACCAAGTCTACATCAGGACTAACCCAGGCCATAACCAAGTCTACATCAGGACTAGAACAGGCCATAACCAAGTCTACATCAGGACTAACCCAGGACCAGTCCAAGTCTACATCAGGACTAACCCAGGACCAATCCAAGTCTACATCAGGACTAAACCAAGACCAAACCGAGTCTACATCAGGACTAAACCAGGACCAAACCAAGTCTATGTCAGGACTAACCTAGGACCAAACCGAGTCTACATCAAGACTAACCCAGGATCAGAGCAAGTCAACATCAGGACTAGAACAGGTACAAACTGAGTCTACATCAGGACTAGAACAGGTACAAACTGAGTCTACATCAGGACTAGAACAGGTTCAAACTGAGTCTACATCAGGACTAGAACAGGTACAAACTGAGTCTACATCAGGACTAACTCAGGACCAAACCAGGACCAAAACACTATAAGTGTAAAAAGAGCTTGTAAAATGTAATGTACCAATCTGCTAAACTGTACACAGTTTTTTGAATCCACTGCTACATAAACTCAAAACATAATCATTGTTCATAAACATCTATTTGCATCGTAGTATTTTTTAAACGAGGAGAGTGAGCGAGAGGAGAGTGAGAAAGAGAGGGAAAGAGGGAACAAGTGCTACATGACAGCAGATGATAGAAAACACAAGTTCAGGTCACAAAAGACAAGATGGCATCTCTGCAGTGACTTCAGTCTGTTTACGTTGTAAAACGTGCCATACCAAATGCATGTGTACACATATCTTTAAATCCACTGCTATATAAAATCCAATCATAATGATTATTCATGAGCACATGTTTACACACCAGTATTTTTGAAAGCGTGAGACCCTGCCTGTTGATATCGTGTATTTCCTCTCTTTAACACACAGATGTAAGTCTCCCATCTGTGTGTTCAAGTAAATGTATGCAGATCATGTGTTTTACAGAGACATTCACAGACAAACACGGCTCCTCTGAGTCCTGTTTTGATTCTGTGAACAGAGCGCGCTCACGCTCTGTCCCCTTTATCACAGCACTGCACACATTTCAATGAGATTCACACTGTAACCTGCAAAACAACACACAAGTATGTTTGAACATGACAGAAAATAATCCCTCTTCAGAATACAGTGCATGTGCCTGTCCTAATCTGATTTGGTTTGTAGATCTAAAATTAACATAACTTTATTTCAAGCAACATTATCCAACATTATCCATAAAAGAAGATGCCATTTAAATCTGGGTTTGCAAATGAACTTTTGTTTTTTACCCACAGATTATATAATGAAAGCAGCACTTAGTCAAACTTGGATTAAAGATATAAAGATATGCTGCTAAATGTTTGGTTTGGGATGAGAGTGGGGCGACAGTAGCTCTGTGTTTGCCCTCTCATCCGAAGGCTCTCAGCATAAGCATCATTGGTTGAGTGGTCAGATCCACTGACCCACAGGTTGGTGGTGCGGTTCCAGCTCCCACTGATAAACGCTGTGATGTCCTTGGGCAAGACGGTGTCTGAGTGCCCTGAATGGGTGAATGGTTCCTTGATGTAAAAATGTGACCATTTCCCATTTTCTGTTCTGCTCTGGGACAGTTATCCATTAGTGAATGCTCATTAATATGTTAAGTGATTGACCAATAACTTTACTGTTTCATTTATTTATTTACGGTTGGTTGGTTAAAGGTCTTATATTACACAAAGTGACTCTTATGTGCTTTAAGACATGTTATTATGCTGTTACCTCATCAAAAACATACAAGAGTTGTGTTTAGTTTTATTCACACATGTATGAATAATCCTTTATTATTATTCTGTCTACATCCCCACTGTTCAAAATGCTCCGTTCCACCTTCTGATGTCATAAAGTGGTAGTTTTCAAGTTAACAGCTAGTTCAATAGAGATTGGCAATTCTAAGGCTGCAATTATCCAAATGATTCTAGTGAAGGTGTGTGGAGTTTAAAAACACAGTGGAGCACAAGGTGGAACAGAGTGTTTTCTGTTTGAGAGAAGAACTCAGCCTAAATGTGCAGGGTTTGTGCGTTAAACGTGTGTGAATGAAACAAAACACTGCTCCAGATCTGTCCGTGATGAGGAAACAACATCATAAAACAGTATAATATTGCACATTTACCATAAACTTTCCATTCCTATAGCTCGGATCATTGCCGCTCGTCTTGTACCTCATTAAAACATGTTCTTGAAGTGGTATTTACGGTCGGAATAAAGGATCTGTTACAGTAAACTCCCTGTACACTCGTCTTACTACACTGAGGAAAAGCGCTCATTGTCCAGCGCGCAATTAAGGAGCGTGTATGAATAATGCAGGGCCCACAGCGTGATGGCGTGGCAGTTTGTATAAGACCCACATGCGCTGGTATTTTAAACAGGAGCGATGATACGTAAAGAAAACATAAACAGATAAAAGGAGCAGCAGAGAGAGAGAGACTGCTGAGAGGACAAAAACACACGAAGGAGGGAAGGTGTTAGTGAATACTGAAAAAAATAAGAGTAAACCCAATGGAGAGAAAGGAGGGGTAGAAAGAAGAGAAAGCGAGAAGAAAGAATGAGTGAGGAGAGGAAAGAGAGAGAACAAGCGCTACACGATGATGAGATGATGGCAAACATAAGTTCAGGTCACGGATTTGATGGGTTACAGTATATGGATGTTGCACTGGACAAATAGGCTCAGTGGTGATTCAGCAAGAACAGAAAAGCTTCCAAATACTGTATGTATGTAGGAAAAAATGAAATATAGGGTCATTCCATGCCAAACTCTCCGAATGTCCCCGCCCGACCGTCACAGATTGGACTGAAAAAATTCTAGGAGGTTCACACACAAATTTTAGCTCCCAGCTCCTTATAATTTTGTCATTAAAAATATTTTGTCAAATCCCCCCTGACCTGATTTGAGTTGTTGTTTTTTTGCTGTATCAAAAAAATTATTTAAGGTCGGTCCTTAAAATTTTCAAGGATTAAAATTTGGCAAATGTACCGTATTTTCCGGACTATTGGGCACGCTCTTAAAGGTTGTATGGAGGATATTTTTTTTTGTTTCAAATTGTCATTGAAAGTTTAAAATACCATTACAGAGACACAGCAGCCTTGTAATTATGATGACCAAAAAAAAAGAATGAAAATCTATCAACTGTCGGCGTAGTGAGGCCAGATAAACATCAGCCAATAGATAATGAGGCTCCCTCTTTATCTATTGGCTGTTAGGTTGTCAATCAAACTCCCTACGTTTCTAGTGAAACTAACTCGCCGGTGCGCTGGGATTACGTGGTTTATGCAGCGGTTCTTAGAGGCTTTTTCGAACTGTCGCTTCCTCACCTGCGATGACAGATGAGAATCCACGACCAGTTCGCCTCAAAAGAAAGTCCATTTTTGAGGTCGTTGAAAGAAGAAGAGAAGGGGAAAAGGAGCGAAGACAAACTGAGGTGATTCTTGGAGATTCCTTCCAGCGATGGCGCGACTGAAGCAGACGAAGGGTCTAAAAACTGACGCATCGATCGCTAAAATATTTCTCGACAGGTCACTTCAACAGTAATTCTGAACGCGCACTGGAGGTAAACAAACGTGATTTCTAGAGTAAAGAAATCACTACAAAGCCACAGCGCACGCAAACACACACGGAGCAGACAGCGACCGCACAGCGAAACACACACGCAGCCACACTCATCACTCCACGCCGACGAGGAACGGAACGGAGGAACGAACCGAAAAAGCGAGTGCAATGTGCCACTTCTAGACACGACTGAACAACTGAGTCACTGCGAACACGCCGACAATCCATTGGTCCCAGACAGCACCCTCCTTACACACCACAACTGAACAAAGCCTAGAGTCACCGTGAACGTGACAAATAAAGTCCCCCTGACCCATCCAACTGTTGTGTTTCCTTTAAAGTCCAGTGCGGTTTATTTATGAAAAAAGTTGGAAAATAGACCATTTAATGACAGTGCGCCTTATAATCCAGTGCGCCTAATAGTGCGGAAAATACGGTACTTGTAGAATCTGGACTTTTACACGTGCTTTTGGTTTATTACAGATTTCTGGGGGGTTAAATTTGCTTGAAAATTCTGCTCTTCTAATCTGAGGGCATCTTTGAAGGACTGTGGAAAGTGCAATTTTAAAGACAGAGGTTAGATTTTGAACATACACCTTTTTGCCAAAATGTTACCCTTGAAAATTTGAAGGACCTACCTTCAATAGTTTTTTCAGATACAGCAATCTGAAAGTGGCTCCTTGGAAAACTCTGCTCAAAACAGGTCAGGGCAGAGTTGACAAAATATATTTTAATAACAAAACTATAAGGAGTTGGGAACTTGGACTGGAAAGTGTGTGTGAACCTCCTAGAATTTTTTCTGTCAAATCTGAGATAGTTGGGCATTTGGAGATTTGGCGTGGAATGACCTTATATCTTAGTTTTCAACCGCTCCTCTGCGTCCTCTAGAACTTTAACTTCAGCTTGAAAGTCTTAGGTTTTGGTTCTCAAACAAGGTGGGCTATTTTCTTTGTGGAATTTAGGGCTAATCGTTGTTTGTGTGTTTGTTTATTTGTTCTTCCTCGGTTCTACATCTGTGTCAGACAGAGTACCACATTCACACTGACAATGGAACTAAAACAGAACAAAAAATTGTGACCTGTTGCACTGAACATTAACTTTATGTATTTATATTTTCTCTCGTCTCTTTCACAGTTGACCAACGATGAACTGCACTTTCGATACCGCTGTGGACAGTCTCCTCCCGGGTCCCTACTGGTCCGATCCTCCCCTCTCTCCGACAGCCAATGGCACGCCGTCTTACTGGAGGTCAACTCTACCATCCTGAGCCTCTCATTGGACGATCAGCCCACAGTCTCCGCCCACATCCCCCACCCGTGTCACATGACCTCTCCCCACGGTGCAATGCTGTTCGCCAACGCCACCCAGATCTCCCCGGAGATGACACCGAGGCTGTCCCGCAGTTTTATCGGCTGCTTGGATGACATGAAGCTGAACGGGGAGCCAATCAGAGTGAGCAATGGAGCGGAGTGGGCGGGGCCTGGCCTGAGGAGGGTGTTTGGGGTTTACCAGTGTTGCCAGAGCGACGGGGCGTGCAGCGGTCAGCCATGTTTGAACGGAGGAGTCTGTGAAGAAGACGTCAGCGGAGGTGAGTGAGACCATACATTTCTCAACATTAAAGGTCCTATATTACACAAAATGAACTCTTGTGAGCTCCTTCAAGACCTAAGAGCAATTGGCCTGGATTTTATTCTTAATTTTATTCTTAAAACTCCCACTTTTACCCCCTAATGAAGTGTTATACATCCTTTTTTTTTTTTTTTTCTCAGCGCAATCTGCATGCTGTTCTTGTGTCATGTGGCTGTAATAAAAGCTATAGGACCAGAATTACCATTTAAAAAAAAAAAAACGGAAAATAAAATTCACACTCTCTCATACAAAACACAAAGCAAACATGTATAAACAACTTTTTGGACATAAAAATGCTTAATTTAGGGTCTTAGCTACAAAAGTCCAAAATATAAATTTTGTATGTCAGACATGTCAAGTATAATTATATATTTATATATGATTATATTTATCACGCGAGATCATATTAAATATGTATTAGAGCTGACCCGCTGGCTACAGATAGACTATAGAGACATTATTTATTTAAAATATTGTTATTATTTTAAATTATGCTTATTCTGGATTCAATGTTTAAGCAAAACTATTATTAAACATTTATTTTAATAAGAAAAGGTTTAATATTACAGAGAAAACATGCAGATGTTGTGGAAATTTTTCAATAAATATTTATTTTGACTCATGACTTACTCACAGTTTTTAATTTTGGCCTCTGTGACTTTGAGTTTGACACCCCTGCTGTAAGTAAACTAAAAATATCCTTATTGCCTCAAAACAAAACAAAAAAAAGTGCAATGGCTCCATGACTTTCCTGGTCTCATGTCAGGTCCAGGGCAGAGCCAAATCACTTCCTGCATTTCCTTGGGGTTTATTATATATGCACAATTCCACAGACCAAGATGCATAATTTGCCATTTATTTGAGAAATAACTGCACTTAGAGCGACATTTTCAATTGTTACGAACACAGACGCTCAGAGCATCGACCATTTTGACTCACTACACTCTTTGGCAAAGTTTGGCCCAATCAAAATGGACGGAGCACATCAGTTTGCTGGAAAACAAAGTTCCTATTGGACACTTGTTTTCGCTACATCATCACGCAGCTCGTGATGTAGGAAAATGTCAGAAATCTGCTTGGAAAGCCACTTATAGTACGTAAGTTTCTATCTTTTATGGTTGGAAAGTTATGCCCGGTTATATAAAACACATTCCCAGGCACCATATACGATACTGTCCGTCTGGAATGGTTTCTGCCATGTTTTTGTTTAGTATATTAAGCTTTTCCCAAATCCCGTAGGAAGAAGGACAATAACGTCTTTCCCCTTGTTAAATTTCACCAAACATTCTCTTTGTTCCGGTTTTAAATCCTCAATCTCGGGAGTTGTTACCTGGCGAGTGCCCAAACTTACACTTCCAGGGTTCTTGCAAATCGTCTAGTGTATTCCGATTCTTGACCTAGTCGCTAGAGAGAAATGAAATTGAGCGGAGGCACTAGGTGGCACCAGCCTGACTACCTTTTACCTTTAGTTCAGTAGAAATTGACGAGTCCAGAGCTGAAATTACCCAAATGATTCAGTATAAGCTCTTTTCGCAACTTTCAGAGACCAGAGTTGGAGTTTTGCTGTGTTAATAACTATCATGCTAATGTGCATTTCCTCATCAGTCCTCATAATTAGCCTTATTTTGAACTCAAGAGCTGCTTATACAATATACCTTTAATGGGGCGAGACATATTGTGCTCAAATACATGATAAAAACCTAGCACAGCACTTTTTAAGGACACTATAAATCAAGTAGCTCGCCAAGGGATATCTGAATCATACATAATTTGCTGAATAACCAAAATTACCACTATTATTGTAACTATTATCATTGTGCCATTATATCTTTTAGCTGCATAATTTCTTGCTACGTCTAAAAATGGTGGCTCTGTGGCATTTTGTTTTTTCTAAAGGTAGCTTAGCGGAGGAAAAAGGTTGGAGACTCCAGCTATAAATCATTTGAAGGCACTGACTCTTTGTTGAACACACAAACTAATATCCAAACCTGGTCTGATAACCCTGAAGTAGTAAAAAATCATAAAAGAAAATCTGTCTTTACTTACTTTAAAATAACAACCAGATAAGCCTCCATAAAGTATTGGATAAAACTGTCCCTGGATTTAAAATGATTATGCTCTTTCCCATTTTGAGCGCGTTCGGGGTGAATTGAAACCTGACCAGCTGCTGCAGATCAGCTTTTTGTTGGTGTAAACATAGACGTAGTATAAAAGCTTTATCAGAACGGGTCTTTCTGAAGCTCGGGTTTAGCTTTGAGTTGTGAAAATAGAAAATGTTGGCCGTGACCCCGGTGACCTCTCATACAGGTGCACAAAGGCAATGGAGACAACATGATTATTATTAATATTACATGTTTCTGTGGACCAGGGAGCGCACAGGGGAGGGGTAGAAAGAGACATGCTCTGGAAAACAGTGGCATTGGTTTCTGGTAAAATGTTGTCAGTGGCTGAATACTGTACTGTACTGTAGTTTTTGGAAGGGCTCAGCACAGTGGAACAGTTATTATGAATATCACATTGTTCATTGACTTCTTTAAAGTTGGACATAGCAGTACAGATTGATTCTAAAATAAACTGTGCGCTGTCTGTGTTTAATTATAAAGCATTTTATCGTCCATGAACCAGGAAGTAAGACTTGTGTGCTGTTATGTTCAGTGTTGGGGAGTAACAGATTGCATGTACCGGAGTTATGTAATCAGAGTACAAATTATGAGTAACTGTATTCAGTTAGTTACTGTTTTAGTGAGTGGTAATTGGATTACAGTTACTTTGTTGAAATAAATGGATTACACGGCAATATTTTCCTGTTTTCACATTTTGGGCTATATCCCTTTTTTTTTTTTTCAGCAATTCCACACTCAAACCAGGTCTAAACCAGGACTAAACCAGGTCTAAACCAGGACTAAACAAGGACTAAAATAGGACAAAATCAGGACAAAAACAGGACTAAAACAGAACTAAACCGAGACAAAATAGGACTAAATCAGGACTAAACCAGGACTAAACCAGGACTAAACTAGGATTTAACAGGATTTAACAGGACTAAACCATGCTGTGTGGACCGTGTCTCCTCCTCCTTCTCTTCTATCAATAATATTTTTTAATCTGGGCTTTTTATTGTCTTTTAGCAGACAAAACATCTAATGTTACGATATCCTAGTCTTTACTTCTCTACAGCAAATCAAGTAATCCAAAATATTCAGATTACGTTACTCACCTTAAGTAATTTAATGGATTCCGTTACAAACTACATTTTGGGGTATGTAATCTGTAATCTGTAGGGGAATACATTTTAAAAGTCACCTTCCCAACACTGGTTATGTTATGCCTCTGGAGAGAGATAGAGCTTCCAGGGGTGCCAGGTGAACACAACAGGAAAAGCCTCATTTTTGCTCTGCTCTGTGATGAAATGATTCATTCCCTCAAAGTATTCCCTCTAGAAGGTCTTCTGCCACATTTGCTGCCACATCTCAAATAACCACAGTTTCTTAGCTAACCTCTTGCGCGGTCTCTAGTGGGATGCCTTTGCATGTGGGGCAGACACAAGTGTTTACATAAAACTACCAAAAGCTGCATCTGAAACAGAAGCCTTTGATGCCAAAATACTGCCTGGTCTGAACACAGAATTAAATTGCTAATTGTTGTTACGCCTCTGAAAGCTGTGAAAAGCACTCATAAACTCATTGCGGTGAATAATTTGGATTCTAAAATTGTCTAAAATTGAAATCCTGGAAAAGTCATGGAAATTGAAAATGCCATTTTCCAGGCCTGGAAAAATCATGGCATTTTAGTATCTCTTTCACACAACTACAGCATTCTTTTAAGTTCTCATGAGGCTATTCTGATTATTTCTGAACATCTGCACCTTTTGTTTAAAAGACAAGACAATAATATGAGACAATAGACAAAACACAATAAATGCACTGACAGGATTTAGAATGTTCAAAATCTAAACTAAACTAACTAAATACCAAACCATAAGGTGAGTGGAAAGAGTTAACATTTCATATTTAGCCCTAAAATCTGATAAATTCTACACATGTAGGTGCCGTAAAGTCATGGAAAATTCATTCTTTAGGTCATGAAAAAGTCATTTAAATGTTTTGAAATTTTGTCAGTGAAAAAGAATGAGAACCCTGGAATAACCAAAGTGACTAAAATGCCATAGTTCTGTGTATTGTATGTTTTTCATTTCATTGTTGTCTTGTTTGGTCTCCTGTCGCAGAGGCGGTGTGCAGGTGCTCGGGGCAGTTTCATGGCCTTTCTGTGAGCTCACCCAGAACCCCTGTGTGTCCCAACCCTGCACCGACGGGCGAGTCTGTGTCCCCAAAGAGCAGGGCCACATCTGCAACTGCTCCCACGACCACCCCCACGCCAGGTAAATACACAACTATGCCCAGTGTCACACAATTATGCGAATGCCACACAACTATGCCCAGTGCCACACAACCTGCCCAATGCCTCACAACTAAGCCCAGTGCCACACAACTGCCCAATGCCACACAACTATGCCCAGTGCCACACAACATGCCATGCACACATGCCCATGCCACACAACTATACCCATGCCACACAACATGCCCATGCCACACAACTATGCCAATGCCACACAACTATGCCCATGCCACACAACTATGCCCAATGCCACACAACTATGCCCAATGCCCAATGCCCATGCCACACAACTATGCCCAGTGCCACACAACTATGCCCAATGCCACACAACTATGCCCAATGCCACACAACTATGCCCAATGCCACACAACTATGCCCAGTGCCACACAACTATGCATGCCACACACATGCCATGCCACACAACTATGCCCATGCCACACAACTATGCCCAATGCCACACAAACTATGCCAATGCCACACAACTATGCCCATGCCACACAACTATGCCCATGCACACAACTATGCCACACACAATGCCACACAACTGCCAATGCACACAACATGCCCATGCCACACAACTATGCCCAGTGCCACACAACTATGCCCATGCCACACAACTATGCCCAGTGCCACACAACTATGCCAATGCCACACAACTATACCCAGTGCCACACAACTATGCCCATGCCACACAACTATGCCCAGTGCCACACAACTATGCCCAATGCCACACAACTATGCCCAATGCCACACAACTATGCCCAATGCCACACAACTATGCCCAAGTGCCACACAACTATGCCCAGTGCCACACAACTATGCCCAATGCCACACAACTATACCCAATGCCACACAATTATGCCAGTGCCACACAACTATGCCCAATGCCACACAACTATGCCCAGTGCCACACAACTATGCCCAATGCCACACAACTATGCCCAATGCCACACAACTATGCCCAATGCCACACAGACACACAGCACACGGAGCTCAGACACCGTGATGCCACCAGTCAATCAATTCATCAATATGAGCAGTAACAAGTACAAGTGGCTGTAGACATCGATCCATTTCCTTCCATTATCCGGGGCCGGTGGCAGCAGTTTAACCAGGATCTCCCAGACTTCCCCCTCCCCAGGCACTTCCTCCAACTCCTCCGGCGGTGTTCCTCAGGCCAGTCCAGAGAAATACTCCCTCCAGCGAATACAACATTCAGCTGAGCTCGCCACCAGTGCACCATCTGTCCTATTGACTAGTGCCGAGGTCAAGGACACCTCTCAAAGAAAAAAAAAAAAAAAAAGAGAAGATATGAATGAATGAACGCTGGAGCTGTTATAGATTTGTAGCTGTCCTCAGATGGTCTGCTTTTAGTCGATATTTTTTCCAGTGCTGCAGCTCTGAGTGATTCACAGATTCACTGGGAATACCGCGACTGGGACTGAACCATTGACAGGACGGAACTTTATTAAACTTTTGTCTTTTACTCCAACTTTGGAAAAAATAAAATATGTTCAATCAATGCAACCCCTCTCCCCTGTCCTTCTCTCTCATTCTCTTTCTGTCTGTCTTTCCTGTCTTCTCTCACTCAAACCTCCCTCTAGCTCCATTCTTACTCCTCTTTTTCATCCAACTTTCCAGCCTCTCTCTTTCTCACCTCTGTTCCTCTCGTCTCTCTCTCTCTCCTCTTTCCTCTCTTTCTGTCTGTCTGTCTGTCTCTTCTCTCTCTTGTTCTTTCTCTCTCACCTCTGTCTGCCCTTTGTCTTCTTTCTTTCCCTTACTCTGTTCTCTCTCTCCCTCTTTAATTGTCTCTCCTCCTCCTCTCTTTCTAATCTCTCCATTCCTGCCTCATTTCTCTCCTCCTCTCTCTCGTTCTCGCGTTCTCTCCTTCCCATTCTCTCTGAACTGAATATATTTGAAAGAGATGAATTTTGGGATTACAGATTACAGTTTTTTTTTATTTTTTTTTATTATTATTGTTTTTTTGTTTTTGTTTTTTTATGTAAAAGTGAATAAAGGAGTTTTGTCACAGTCCGGCCTCCACAGACAAACGCTCCAATCAAATCAAATCAAATCAAATACAGATTTCAAGCGACAATAATCACAATTCATAAAAGTGTGTGCGGTTTTTATGGAATTTTGAAATTTAAATGCAGCTGAATTTCTCACTTTCTCACTCTGAAAAAACATGTTTGGATTATTTTTATTCTGAATTTTAGTTGCTGAAATTTTAAGTGTACTTTTTCGAAGTGTTTAAAAATCACCTTTTCAATATTCAGCACAAATATTTTCAAGCCCTCAAATTCAACAGTTCAAATTCAGAGTGCAAATTTCACAGTGAAAAAAAAAATTGCAGGAAAGTTCCAAGATGACAAGGTACAAGCAATCTGAGGGCTTCAAAATATTTGTGCTGAATATTTAAAAGATGATTTTTTTTTTTTTTTATTTTGGATTTGAAGCATATTGAAAAAGTTTTCTTAAAATTTCAGCAACTCGAATTCAGAATAAAAATTTAAAATGAGAAATTCAGCGGTATTTAAAATTCAAAATCTAATGGAACAAATTATCTTCCATAGTTTTTTTTTTTTGTTTTTTTTTCATACAGCAGCACCGTATTTTTCAGACAAGTCACTCCGGACTATAAGTCACACCAGCCACAAAATGCGCAATGAAGAAGAAAAAAAACATATATATGTTGCACTGGACTGTAAGTCACACTTTTTGGGGAAATGTATTTTATCAAATCAGAGACCAGGAACTGACATTTCATCTTGAAAGTCAAGTTCTAGAAATAACAATAGAACAGAGAACAACAGGCTGTTAATGTCACATATGAACAGTTCTTCAGATAATATAGCATAAACAACAGAACATAAGTTTACCAAACTCAAGATCTCACTCCAAATCACTAAATCCATAGAATTCTTCATCCTCTGTGTCACTTCTGCGTGACCTCCAGAGATAAACCATAGATCCATGATGTAAACAGAGCGCCGCTTCCTCTTCTGTGTCGCTGTCATCAGACTCAGCATCAGTTTCAGTTAGAATTATTCCAGCCTTTCTTAATCCTGACAGGATGGTTTCGATGTCACTGAAGTCCAGGCTTTGTCGATTCATCCAGTGACTTCCAGGAAAGTTTCATGGCGCACCCGCCTGGTTACCGTGAAGCTGTGTTCTCCATCCCCGCTTTCCACGAGACCCTCACAGTTTTCTCTCTCACTCCATACTTTCTTTCTGCTGCTCGATTACCGTTTTCGGCTGAGTATTGCACTATTGGCAGCAAGCTAGTGACTTTTTCTACAGAAGACATCCACAGTAGAGTGCAAAGTGACAGTGGTACAGGAGTAATAGTACTAGATACTGACACACAAGAAAATATGAATAAATAAGTCGCACCTGGAGTATAAGTCGCAGGAAACACCCAAACCATGAAAAAAAGCATGACTTATAGTCCAAAAAATATGGTAATAATGAAGTAGTATAAATATTAAACATGACATTTAGAGGAATTAATATATTTTTGGTTATTATTCCCAGCAGCAATCGGGCTCCAGAAAGATTCTCAAAAAAAAGAAAGCTTGATTTTTTTCTTCGTTACTGTTTCAGATGTATCAGCATAACAGTGTGTAGCAGCCTGTAATGTGATGTGTGTATTTGGACGTAGCACAAAGGCTCAGGGATTGTTTGCTGTTCTGTGTCTAAACTGTCTCTTCTTCTTCTTCTCTCGTAGGTGTCATAACATGGTAGAAGACTGTCCTCCAGACTCATGTCCCAAAGACTTCGGCTGTAAAGTGGTGCTGGGCTCCATCCACTGTGACCCCATGGCTGTGGTCAGTGCATTTATTTAAACCAGGGGTGGGCAATTCTTTTTCATGGGGCCACATGAGAAACAGAAAATATTGTGAAGGACCGTGCCAAAATGCTTAACGCAATAATATGAATTGTATTTCTTTATAAAAAGCTGTAAATGTCATTGCTGGGATGAGCTGCTGAGACTGGGAAGAGTTTATGTTTGACTAAGCAATGAAAAAATGAGGCTGCCTAACAAAAAATGTCATTTAAAAAACCACCTCTAAAATAAAAGCAATGCAGCTTTAGTCCATGCATGAGGTCAAATGAAATATGTTTATTTTGTGATTCCAAATGAGCTTAAACGGGCCGGTCAGAGCCAACCAAAGGGCCGTATGTTGCCCTGGAGTTGGACAATGCTCAAGTCTGATTTAAACATAACATTTATCATTTTTTCTCTGTAGACAGATTTCTATTCTTGAAGTGTAACTTGTGTTTGAAGCATGGTATATTTAATAGCAGAGGTGGGACCAAGTCGTTGTTTTGCAAGTCTCAAGTAAGTCTCAAGTCTTTGACCTCAAGTCCGAGTCAAGTCCCAAATCAAAGACATTCAAGTTGAAGTCGAGTCTCAAGTCACTGGCCAAGTCCCAGTAACTCAAGTACTGTATTTTCCGCACTATCGGCGTACGCTCTTAAGCCTCCAACCCCATCAAAAAACGACCACGCGCCCCATAATCCAGAGCGCCCTGTACACTAATCCACTCAGGTGTCCCAGTACGACTTCAGTAAACTACAAAGCCGCACCACCCGCAGCGCACGCAAACACACACGGAGCAGACAGCGACCGCACAGCGAAACACACCCACAGACACACTCATCACTCCACGCCGACGAGGAACGGAACGGAGGAACGAACCGAAAAAGCAAGTGCAATGTGCCACTTCTAGACACAACTGAACAACTGAGTCACTGCGAACACGCCGACAATCCAGCGGTCCCAGACAGCACCCTCCCTACACGCCACAACTGAACAAAGCCCAGAGTCACTGTGAACGAACAAACAAAACCACTCACCCATCACACTGTTGTGTTTCCTTTAAAGTCCCACGTGGTTTATTTGTGAAAAAAGTTCCAAAATAGATCATTCAGTCACAGTCCACTTTATAATCCAGAGCGCCTAATAATACTTAAAAAGTCATGGTATATATATATATATATAAGAATTTCTATAAGTGTTGTAGAATTTTTTTTTTTCTTTTCACATGTCTTGACAAGATCTGAGTGTGGATCATTCCAGTCAGAACAGAAACAATTCAGATTTAAAAGTGCTAAACAACAGTTACTTTGTCATGTCGTCTGCGCTAAAATGGAAGGATCATGTTCTCTGTGGTTCCCTCTGTTTTACTGTATTGTACTGTATATTACTGCAGTACATTTGAGGATACCATCTAACAGTACTTCAGTTACATCAGACGGACATGTTCCAGTTTGTTTCAGTAAAATTAAGCACAAAAAGGATCAACTGTAAAGAGAAAAGAATTCTCTAAAAAATATATACTTTTTTAGTCACAGGCCTCAAATCTGGGTCAAGTCCCAAGTCACTGACCTTCAAAGTCCAAGTCGAGTCCCAAGTCTTAGTCCATCCATCAAGTCAAGTCTCAAGTCCTAAAAATAGTGACTCGAGTCTGACTCAAGTCGAAGCCTCTGTGTATGAGCGAGTGTTAAAAGTCTGTTCCTGTTTTGTGTCCATGTTTAGTCTCAGCCCTTGGTGGGTTTTATGGAGATTATCGAGATCGGCGCAAGCATTCTGGGTATTGTCCTCCTGGTGGCGATCTTCGTTTGTGTGAGGAAGCGTTACGTTCAGCAGCAGAAGAAGAAGCCCGCCTGTGTACAAGACTCCAACGGGTGAGTCTAGAAAACGCCACTCTGCTCAGTTTGAAATGTAGTAAAGTTATTTTTGAGAGCTACACTACAACTATAATCAGTGTTGGGAAGGTGACTTTTAAAATGTATTCCCCTACAGATTACAGATTACATACCACCAAAATGTAGTTTGTAAAATAATCCATTAAATTACTTAAAGTGAGTAATGTAATCTGAATATTTTGCATTACTTGATTTGCTGTAGAGAAAAATTTAAAATATTATTGATAGAAGAGGAGGAGACACGGTCTGCACGGCATGGTTTAGTACTGGTTTAGTTCTGGTTTAGATCTAGTTTAGATCTGGTTTAGTCCTGGTTTAGTCCTGGTTTAGTCTTGGTTTAGTCCTGGTTTTGTCCTGGTTTAGACCTGTTTTCTTAGACCTGGTTTTAGTCCTGGTTTACTCCTGGTTAAGTCTTAGTTTAGTCCTGGTTTAGACCTGGTTTTAGACCTGGTTTAGACCTGGTTTTAATCCTGGTTTAGTTCCAGTTTCAGTCCTGGTTTAGACCTCGTTTAGACCTCATTTTAGTCCTGCTTTAGTCCTGGTTTAGCCCTGATTTAGTCCTGGTTTAGATCTAGTTTAGACCTGGTTTTAGACCTGGTTTAGTTTAGTCCTGGTTTACTCCTGCTTAAGTCTTGGTTTAGTCCTGGCTTAGACCTGGTTTTAGACCTGGTTTAGTCCTGGTTTAGACCTGGTTTAGTCCTGGTTTAGACCTGGTTTAGTCCTGGTTTAGTCCTGGTTTAGTCCTGGTTTAGTCCTGGTTTACTCCTGCTTAAGTCTTGGTTTAGTCCTGGTTTAGACCTGGTTTAGTCCTGGTTTAGTCCTGGTTTAGTCCTGGTTTACTCCTGCTTAAGTCTTGGTTTAGTCCTGGTTTAGTCCTGGTTTAGTCCTGGTTTACTCCTGCTTAAGTCTTGGTTTAGTCCTGGTTTAGACCTGGCTTTAGACCTGATTTAGTGTCCAGCAATGAGTGGAATTGCCGAGAAAAAAAAAAAAAAAAACGGATTTAGCCCAAAATGTGAAAATAGGAAAATACCGCTGTGTAATCCATTTACTTCAACCAAGTAACTGTAATCCAATTACCACTCACTGAAACAGTAATTGTAACCGAATACAGTTACTCATAATTTGAACTCTGATTACGTAACTCCGGTACATGTAATCTGTTACTCCCCAACACTGACGATAATACATTTAAAACCAAAAAAGTTACATCGTTCATTACATAAAACATCATAATTGACCTCCCCCTTCCTGTTTTTCTTCAGGTATTTCCCGTCCGGTCTGTGTAAGAGCCTGAAGTCTGAAGGTGCCGTGATGACCCCCATAGAGATGACCTCCATGGACCAGGACTCGTCTCCGTTCCGCTCCCTGAGACCTCGCTCTCAGCTGGGCTCGTCCGTGAGCGGGGGCTCCCTGTCCAAACCCCAGGGGCCCGTGGTCTGCAGCGTGGCCCCCAACCTCCCCACGCGCCCCCCTCCACCTCCGACACAGGCTCCATCAGGAAGAGCCGCTGGGACCAGGACTACGAAGGTGAGAGGCTGATCGTGTTCAGTCACACGGGGAGATTTTGTTTCAGTTTGGTATTGTTTTTATCTTGTTTTCATTTCAGATAGTTGGGCATTTTACTTTAAAATACTCAACAAAGTAATTATCCAGTTATTTTTCATGTTAAGTACTATTGCGTCAAAGAACTTTAGAGTAACTGAATGGAGAATAAGTTTGAAAACGCTGCCTTTGAATGTCTCTGGTTTGTCATTGTCATTCTCATCGAATTTGTCTCATTTAGCGTGAAGTGTGCGGAAAGAAACAACTCAGAAACGGTTAACTTTCTCAAATAAGAGGTTTGTGTAGTCAATTTTTTAGCTAGAAAATTACATACTGTGGCTTTAATAAATAAAATCTTAGCCTCTCAGTTTGGAGTAGTACTGCAAATAGTAATTTTTTTAAAATTAGATTTTGCAAATAAAGATATTGAGATGACATTATGGTGATTCATCTTAAATATGCTTAAACCGACTTCACACAGATTTCTAGCACTGTTTTAAACAGTGATTTAGTGGGGATTTTTTAAGTGGGGGCAAGAGATTCATGACGTCATTGATGTGACCCCCCCCCAAACAAACATAAAGGTGTCAGTCCAGTAAAAATCAGTAATATTTGATGGGGTTTTTTTTGTTTTATTTTTTACTAAAAATTATGCAGAATCATGTTATTAACATTAACACCGTTTATAATGAACCACAGAACATAAACCACAGACTACAACACATGAACCAGGACTGAAACAGGTCTAAACCAGGTCTAAACTTGGACTTGAGAGGGAGAGAGAGAACCCAGAGGCCGAGACGATCAGGCGACGGCTGCACTGACCCCGTGGTGTGCGGAGCTCTGTGTCCGTCCTTTCACCTGCGGCCACCTGACGGTCTACGCGGGTGCACCTCTGTCCCGTCTAGAGATGCATGGATTGCGGTTACAGCCGCGGTATCGGGCGGATGACGTGACAAAAAATAATGTTTTAATTAAATTTGGGCGGGTGGCGGTTTAACTACTCAAATAAAAGCCTATATTGTTAAGTATTGCTACCTACATCTGAAAAAACGAGTGTCATTGTACAGTCTGTGCTTGTAGTACAGTAGTAAGAAGGTTAAAAAATAGCCTAGTCAGAAAACGTTGTCAATTAATTAGCTGCACAAGACAACCAGGCAAGTTTGGGGTTGTTACGGACAATTAACAATGTGAACATGCACGTTGAGTGAATTTTGGATTGAATGAGCTATAGAGTTTGCATTTTTATCGAGGCTCCTTAGTTTGTTTGCTATATGATTCTTCTAAAATCTAAAATCAATTGGTCAAAACCTTGGGTGCAAATGGACAGCGGGCGGATGATGAGTTTTGTGTCGCGGTTGCAGATGAAAAAATAGCCCATCCACGCATCTCTAGTCCCGTCCTAACAATCAATCCTGGTTCAGTTCTGGTTTAGTTCTGGTTCAGTCCTTGACCCTCATGTCTCAGGTCACTATAGGACAGTAGAGCAGATAACATGAGCCTATGCAGGTTATTTTCACCATTGCCAGTAGCTTGACATTTAAGTTGTAGCTATTTAATATTTGTTATTTTTTTATTTGTCATGCCCACTACACCCCTGGTTTTAAATTTTCCGTGAGTTTGTAAGTCTCAGGGTCAGTGTGATTGTGTTACCTCTGTCTGTCAGCTCCCAGCTCCAAAACCTCAAACCATAAAAATCCTACATCCTGATATTTACGATTCCCCTTTTAGATAAACTTCAGAACAGCCAATCAGAGCAGCCAACACACAAACGCCTCTGCTCATGACAGCTCTATTACTGTAAAAACACACAAGGACACTAATATGGAGTCTGTGCAAAGTTTTCCGGTTAAACATCTCATCAGATTGACTTTAACAGGAGCCTTACCTTCAACCGTCTCTGCTCCTTTGGGAGTTTACGGGCAGGACGAGTTAACAGACTGGATTTAAAGTATAAATCAATACATAAACTGAACACTCCCAATAGGCTTCAGTGTTCTGGCAGCGTACGGCGGCGAGGGGACTTAGCCGTGTTTAACATTGTCCTCTGCGAAAAGATGAGGTCATAGAGATGGATGACCTGTCGCCACGGAGACAACTGGAGCCAATCACACGACACATGTCTGAAACGGCGAGCCACGCACCGCCGCTCCTGTCCCCCACTCCTGTCGCCCCTGTCTCTGCGGAGAACATACACGAGAACAGAGCAGAAGTCATACAGCAGACATACTGAAGAATTATGGCTCACTGCTACGACTAAAACATACTGATATCTTTCCTTTCAGTTGATGTCATATCTATATGTTAATGAACCTTAAATAAAGCTAATTGGAGGCACTATTCTGTCTTAGATACATCTACAAGAGGGTCCGGTCAAGTGGTAACGGAGGGAAACAGGGGCAGATTTTGACATTCAAATGTCTCTTATTCAGAAACTAGAGGGACTATTGAAATAAGTAAAGTATCAGAATGTAGGAAAGAGTTACACTCCAACAGGGTCAAGTTAAACCTGTGATATTCTTTCAAGTTGTTGACAAAAAATTTTAAAACTCATGTCGGTAACGGAGGGAATGAAATATGCAGCACTTTTTGGGCAATAAATCCAAACAGTGATAACTCTTGGTTCTCACTTCCATATCCTTAACAAACTGGTTTGAATATTTGCTTCATATAGTTTTCTACCATATGGTACAAGATTAGGTTGAAAAACCTCTTACTTTTTGAGTCATGAGATTTTTTATTAAGAAAGGTCATGGTAACGGAGGGAAAAGTAACGGAGGGAAAATTGTGCAAACAAGTAGAAGGTGCAGGATTTTACATCATTTGTCAACTTTTTTCTTCTGAATACTTTAATATTACTTCAAAATGAAAGGAAACTATTTCTATAAAATATGTCAGTCCTTCCAAGCAAATTTTTATCATTTTAAATCTTTTTTTTTTTAATCCATGTACCTTTCATCAACAGGTCAATGATGGAATAACACAAGATATGATGAAATACATCCATTTATTTACATGATTTGCAGGTCTTTGAAATTTGGGAAATAATTTTTGTTCCATGTTTCATACATGGTCTGTTTAAAACGTATGGAACTTTAGAACCAAAAATGGTACAGAAAAAAGGTAAACAGTTTCACTAGAGTACAAACTAGAGTACATATGTATCTGTTCAATACATTTTTATATCAGATGCATTAACTTAAAATTTTGGCCTTGCTGTTTACTTCTGCTTGACCGAGCCCAAGAACAAAAACTAGTGCGCTGATATGTCACAAGCCGGCATTAGCAACTGTTTTTTAATTTGTCACAATTTTTTATCAAAAACAAACATCCAAAAAAACAACACTTTTATAGATCACTGACTGCATTATTATTATTGTTTAAGTTTTTTTTATTAATTAAAGCCACAGTATGTAACGTTCTTGAGGTGGCACATCATCATACTTCAGGATGGCGAGGAGAAAATTCAGTTTGTGGACTGGACAAAAGTGCCATACTGTGGATATATATAAACAAAGGAACAACATTTCCATGGAAAGGAGGAAGAGGCCCTCCTCCAGACCAAATAAGAGTCAGGTCTGTGGAAGATGCAAGCCCTCACAGAGGAAGGACACATGTCGTATGTTTTTCAGTGCTTTAAAAATAACCAGATAGAAAAACATGGCCAGAGTGCATATGTGCCTTACACCACATGCTGACTCAGTATTGTTTACATACATTACTTTAAGTCATGCAAAATAACTTTAAATAGGGTCCATGCACCATTCCTTCTTTTGAATTTCAATTAAGAACAAGAAACAATAAAATGGGAAAACTGTTTATTTTTAGTGTCAACAAAAAAACAGATTTCAACATCTTTTTTAAAATATTTCATTTAAAGGTTATTTCAAGTAACACCAATCAAAAAGCAGTCATCAGTTTCTATTTCATCTAATTCAATTTTGATATTTTGTTCTCCCAGGTTTATTTGCCCCAGAAGTTCTGCTGCTCTACCTTCTAGTGTGTATTTTGAAGTTTGTGGATGCATCTGTCTGTGTCAGTGGATGTTATGGGCCGTGGCTGCATCCAGATCCACGTTAAATAAATGTGCTAAATACATCAGAAAAGACACACTGAAGCAAAATGGAATTAAGATGTGCTCAGAAATGAGTATTTGAAGATTTTGTGAAAAACACAAACTAAAATGCAAAGGACTGGTTACAGATGCAGAGTTGGAAAGAGCTGTAATGGGTTCATTTTGTGGAAAACATGTCGTCTTCTTTTATAGCGACGCGTTCACTTTCGCGTCATTGTTGAACTCATGATGAGAAACAGGAAGCAGCGATAAACTCTCCTTTGTTCAGCTGACACGGAATTCACACACAGCGCTCTAAGCAGCAGAATTTCCGGGGCAAATAAACCAGAGAGAATAAAATATCAAAACTGAATTAAGCACGATGACTGTTTTTTGTTTGGTGTTATTTGAAATAAACTGCAAATTAAATATTGGAAATAGAGGTTGAACATAACAAACTGTTTTCCCATTTTACTGTTGTTCGTTCTTAAAGGTTGTATGGAGGATTTTTTTTTTCAGTTTCAAATTGTCAATGAAAGTTTAAAATACCATTACAGAGACGCAGCAGCTTTGTAATTATGATGACCAAAAAAAAAAGAATGAAAATCTATCAACTGTGGACGTAGTGAGGCCAGATAAACATCAGCCAATAGACAACAAGGCTACCTCATTTTCTATTGGCTGTTAGGTTGTCAATCAAACTCCCTACGTTTCTGCGTGCGGGGATTACGTGGTTTATGCAGCGGTTCGTAGAGGCTTTTTCAAACTGTCGCTTCGTCGCAATTTGCACAAAGTTTGTTGCGGTGGCGAGAATCTAGGACCAGTTCGCCGCAAAAGAAAGTCTGTTTTTGAGGTCGCTGAAAGAAGAAGAGAAGGGGAAAAGGAGTGAAGACAAACTGAGGTGATTCTTGGAGATTCCTTCCAGTGAGAC